ATAAAACTGATGAGAAAACGACAACTAACTGGTAATCCACTACTTCCATGTGTTATAAATTGAGCCAAATGCCTACAAAGAAATTTACGGAAAATTTCAAATTCTTGCTTGACAAACACACGTAACAAACAAATTTAAAAAAGCACTCAGACTCTATCACATCTTTTCCCTATGCGAGCAGGATATGAAAAATGTCACAAATAGAATCTACGACATACAATAAGGTTTAATCAAAGTCTTAAACCCCAAAACATAAATTTCAGAAGCAGTTGCATAACCATACGCACTAATTCAGTACTCTGAAAGCAAAGAAATATCTTATTGATAGGTAAAAAAGACAAAGGTTTTCCACCACGTCACACCTCAAAGACACTACATTAAAATAAAATTTCAAAAGCTGATGACATACATGTTCAAAACCTGCCAATTTCTCTATCCCTCTCTCCTTTTGGAAGTAAGACAGTCTTTCTGTCTCTTATTGAACCTCCTATATACAAGTGCTCCGAGAAAGATATATTGCTTCATTGCTTCACTCTCTTTTCTTTTATTAAGTGTACCAGTTTTTATCCTTTGAAAACTGGATGAATTCATTTTTTTCTGATATGTCATTTTTAAGAATATTACTACACAACTTCCTAGGATAAATGTTAATTTTATCATAGCAAAAATGCAGATTTTTTTCTTTCTTGATTAATATAGTACATGAACATTCCTTAAATCTAGTTTGAAATTTGCAAGAATCATTTCACTCGACCAATGATATTAAATTAAATTTATAAGAACATTTCTTTAATCATATTTCTTTGAAATCATTGGGTTTTGGCGACGCCATCGCACTTTGGTGTCACAATTGGATACTTAAGTGTTACAAAAATAATTTGCTATTTAAAAAAATTCCAATTTACAAATGTCATGTTCTTATTTTTATAACACAGGAAACATTTTTTTTTCCTGTCAGTGTATCTTGCATGATTGATTTGCCTTGTTTTTCAATAAAACCAAAATGTCATATTATTTTAGTATTTTTTTTTTAGTTTGTAGATGAATCAAAAGAATTGAATATCAAACGCGGAGATATTACTATGAAGTTACGAATGTTTTTTTATGTGTCAAGAAATAAATAAAAGACATGAAACAATCTTAAGAAAACATGACAATCACGAGAATTTTCCTCATTGAGATGAGTAATTATAACTAATCACAAGCACCCTTTAGCACACTTTATCATCATAAGAGTTCTCTTCTCCCCTCAGCGTAACTACTTATAAGAAAAAAGTATACACGTCAAAACATCTTACATTACGATGAGTGACACTTTGTCATGTTGAGAATGTAGTATATGGAAAATTGTGGGAAATGAAGGAAAAAGCATAATTGTTATATAGTAGCTTGATACTATTATCATAAACGCATATTATTCATGGCCACCTGAAGTTGTATAAATCCAGAACCAGTAATTCCAACAATAGATATTAGGTGCAATGCAACTACGTACAAAAACGTTGATGTCCCCAGGTACATGTAGATTTGTTGCACAAAAGTGTGCTCAACGTGTAAAAGATTTGATACGAGGCAATTTTTTAAACTGACATTGATGATTCAAGGACATCCACAGTCTTGCTTAATGTATATATACGAGGGTTGTCCCGTAAAATCGTGGACAAAGCGTTTTTTTTGGAAATTAATGGGCTCACTAAGCTGAAATTTTCAGTAAATGTTTATTCATCATATTTAAGTGTATCATAATGTTTTTGATAATATATATATACAAAAATACAGATTTTATTATGCTTGAAGGTGTACATGGTACTGTCCTACTGCGCATGGTTAAAAAAGGAAGATTATATTAGAGAAGACATAAGAATTTATTCATCATAAAAGTTTTCAATACATAAGATTAGGATGCAAATTACCCTAATTCCATTCATTAATCAATTCTGTCGTCTTTTAAAAAAATTCAAGGCATTTGGTAAATTTTTGGCAGTTTCCCGAGCATTTGAAATGGGAAAGTAATAAACACAATACACGAAAAATGGCGACTTTTTATGACGTTACGGCGCACCGGAGAGCAGTTCAGAAAGATTAGGATGTTGTAATGACGCCTTAAGAGACTTTAAATGAATACAGAAGAAAGAAAATATGAAAAATATAACCAGATCTTTAGTATATAAATGAAATGAAAGTTTTCTTAGTGAAGTTTTCGTGGTCGAGTCCCAAGATAGTACAAACATATGGACAGACTGCCATTTGTAATAGCAAAGGAAGCTGTCACTGTCGACCGTCGATGTGAGATTCACTTTTAGTTGAATGATGGTGAGAATACTGTCTGTAACTTGCTAATAAATATTCATCAGATCGCATGAGTGTGCCACATTGGTTTATTAACTGGTTATAGATACTCATATGTGTAAATCAATAAAATTTCTAAATTTTAGTGGGGCTTATCCAACTATAACTTTAGCAAAGATGAAACGTGACGCTGTTTTAGACACTTTGACGTTATCATCCGTGCGCCGTAGGGCGATACAGTACATAGCATAAAATATCACAATTTGTTTACCTATACATAGATCTATTTGAAATTTGCTATGTATATGCATAATTTATCTACTAAAAAGTGGTGAAAATTTCAGAACGCAGTGATGATTATTTTTCAAACTAGACAACTTGTCCACGATTTTACGGGACAACCCTCGTATAATAATAATATATGGGGTATTAAAAAACTAAATATACAATAAAACATTTTATTAAATCAAGTTTTTTTTCAACTTAAGTGTTGATCAGTCACAATTATGGAGTACTTTAAAATAATGAAAGAAAAAGTTGGGGTCATCTATGTTAATTTTAGAATATTGGTCAACATATGTGATTGTCAGGCAAAAAATGGTGTTAGTTTTACATTGGCTTATTTGACATATCTTCATTCTTTGACAAAGTTTGTTGAAGCTGGGTGAAAATATAAATTAAGACCTATATAAAATATTCCCAGTGATATCATAATGTAAAATATTCTTTGAGTAAAACGCTAAAAACAACGTGAGGCTAAAAGTCCAAGAAATTTTATTTAATAAATGTGCAGATTTGCTGAATATCCTTCAACAACAAAAAATAGTCTCTCACAAATCTTGCTTCTTCGTATCTTTTCGTGCATTTTTTTTTGTTAAAAACATCAACATGATTGATATTAAATATGTTATAAGAATAGACGTTTGAAAAGTAGTTTTGATGTAAGAGGATCTCCGTGAACTTTTCCAAAAAGCTGATTCGTGAATTATTATTACTATCATTTTGTATTTTTAACAGAGTCCATTTTGTTAAAATACAGGTATAGTGAAATCAGTTTGCAGATTGTTGAAGGGAAAACATCAGGACGGGGCGAGGAAGACGACAAAAAAAGATTACTTAGATTGAGGATCCCAATGGTCTTTGGTACAAGCACATCTTTAAAAAATCAAATAATAAGTATCATGAAATGTTACTTGAACAAACTTTTACATTATTTAGTGCTTGACTTTGTCGGGAGTCAGTATCGTCATGTGTTTATAAAAATGTTCAATATCCTTTGTATAAGCTCAAGCTACCCAGCCCACCATGACAAAATTAAAAGATCTGTCATGAAGAAGAGGCGGGTTCTCAAGTTTCATTTTATAGATGGCAAGTATTGTTAAGATCTAATTTTAAAGTATTCTTGATAAAAATATAAGAATTACATAAGGATGTTTGGCAATTGATAACTATTATTTGTGATAGCATTTCGTATTAATTTTCAAAATCAATTCATTCTTTGGTGACCATGTGCTTCAAACACATAATTTTTATAAAAATATTGACTATATTTGTCCAGTATAAAATGTTATAACGGTATGAATTCTATTTAAGCATGATTTTCATCTTCAATTTGAGGGACTCTCACCTAAAGTCTTTTAACCGTTCCGTTTTAGGAAACAGTTCATGAGCAGAAAAATATTATTGGGGGAAAAGGCACATATCTCCTAAACCATAACATGAGTATCATTCTGTATGCATGTACAGCTAAGCTAAATATGTACAACTGTATTGCTCTTTTTGTAAACTGACTACTGGGTAGTCAGGAAAACCTATGATTTCTCTAAATTTTAGGGATTTATTCTTTCTTTTTGTTTATTACCGTTAAAAACACATACTTCTCAAATTGTAATTTTGGGCTTAAGGCTTTTTGTGATAAGGGATACATGACCGAACCTATTGTTTCTTCATATAATGTCAATAACAAGAAGTCCACTCATCTTATTGAATAAATAATTTACATTTTTTTCTTTTCTATTTTTTTCTTTCTAAATTCAAAAATGTCCATTTGGTTTTATTATGAAACATGTCACGTGCGCAAAACAATATCTTGAGATGTCTATGATGTGTGGGTGATTTGCAGGATAGAATGTAGGCAACATGTGCTGTCAACAATCTTGTTGTTTTTGATCTTATGTTTGTAAAAAAAATTGTTTTGTATTATAATATACAAAGTTAAAGTCAACTTTTTGCTACTTTGTATATTAATTATGATGTTTGTACTTCTGCAACTTATCGATTTGGAAGAAAAATCTTATTTATAGATTGCATAAGGCTTCCTTCACTAGAATGGAAATTATAAACTTTTGTGGTTATTAAAGATGGTATTCAATTGAATTTAAGATCTTTAATAGTCAGATTTAATACATCCTAAATTCAGTGTTTAATGTTGGTAAATATTAGTTTTTCTCTCTTTTTTGTAAATAAAAGAAAGAGTGGGACATAACATCATATTTAAGTGCAGTTAATGTAAAGGTTACCTTTCCCAACTTTGACTTTTATTTCAGAAAAGCCGATTAAAAGCATTGCAAATAATAAATTTACATTTGCATGACTGCCGCATCACGTGACTAGTCTAAATATAAAATATAACCGTCTTCGATATGTAGTTATTAATCATAATTACAACTAGAGCAAAGCTCGTTGCAAAGCAACGAGTGGGCGAGTGGGTCTTCCTTCTTAGCGATAAGCAGAAAGTGAAATGTTTCAATTGTCAACTTTGCTACCATTCTTTATTTCTTTGACTCAAATAGCAAAAACCTTTCCGGGTTAGAATAGGTCCTCAGTACCCCCATGGTTGTTGTAAAAGGTGACTAAATGGGGCGGTTCTTCGAATGAGACCGTATTAACTGAGGCCCCGTGTCACAGCAGGTGTTGCACAATAAAGATCCCTCCCTGCTCAAAGGTCATAAGTGCCAAGCATATAGGCCTAAATTTGCAGCCCTTCACCGGCCAATGGTGACGTCTCCATATAAGTGAAATATTCTGGAGAGGGACGTTAAACAGTAAACAATCAATCAATCAATTATACTGTAAAAATACAGATATTTACACACATTTATAACCTTAACTATTAGAACTGGTATGTCTTCTCTTGGAAACGGAAGACCTCAATACAGATGTTAACATGCAAGATCTGACACATACTTAAAAAGAATATCTATTCCAAACTAAAAATAGACTCTGTAACAAAATCTATTTCTCTTGAAAAACTGAAAGCAATTGATTTGTTCATATTTGTGGATTTATGTCTGTTTCTCAAATCAAAATTTAAATATGAATATTTAAAGTCAATATCATAAACTAAGACTGTTTCACATGAATGTTTCAGTTTCATTATGCTGTTTATTCCTTGTCATCCCCCAACAGATGCTCTTCTGGCAAATCATGATTGTGCTTGGAATCAAATTTCAGTACTCTGATGACAGTCACACCTATCAAAAAGAAATTGAAATTTTTTATTGAATTTTTTTCTTAAAAAGTGCAACTTATACACAGTTATAAGATAAGATAAACCATCAAACTGAGTTCAAAGATACTGTCACATTTTCCGGTAGTCTATAATTATTTAAAAATATAGGTTTACAGAGAGTCATTTGAGGATGTTATAAAATAACATATTAGTTTTTCATGATTTCAAATAAAGAAAATGTACATTACTTGTTCATATCAAAATTTATCAGGAATGGTAATGGTTAACAGTTGTTAACTGACAAATTAGCCAAAAAGATGGTATCCAGTTATGATTTTTTTAAGTGTCAGGATAAGACCATTCGTAAAGGTGTTACAGCAATGAAGAACAATGCGCTAATGAAGTGACAAAATGCTATTGCATAAAGAACAAAGAGCTAGCGCAAAGTAACAATGTGGCTCTAGCTCATTTATAACACCATGGTAGTAAGTTTATGACAACATTCTGGCCAGTTTAAGACACTTACAAGGTAGCATGAAGTAAAAATGTGCTACAACACTTATGACGATGGTCTAGTGTGTTTATGACAACACAATGACAATGTACTTGTGCATTGTAACAATGTTGCAGCAGGCTTTTACACCACACAGTCAAGATTACATGTAATATATTGTGTAAAGCTGTGTTGGCATGGCAGCATATTTTGTGTCAGCACAACTGCATGCTATTTTAAGTTGCCTTAGCCTGTGTTAGCACATTGTTCCTAAACATGCTGAAGCACTTTTACAATTAGCCTTATCTGGACACCATAATTTTCATAACCAACTAGCCATGTTTTTTTGTAAAAGTACATGTACCAGGGTACATGTAAATCATTTTTTTTTTAGATTTCCATATGTTCTAAAAAGACAAGGAATAAAATGATATTTTCTATAAGCTTCTATTCATTATAAGTGTTTGCCAAAGCATTTTTTCCTATATAACCAAAGTACATCTTTGTCTAAATGGTAGCCTAGTGGTAGGGCATTCCCTTTATATAATCCTGAAGTTTAGCTTGATTTCTAGCCGGACTCATTGCTACGGAGTTCAACAGGAAATGCTGCTTCATCACTGTTGCTTAATCAAATTTACACATTAAAATATAGTACATTTGCGCAATCAAATTTGAGGCAATACAAACACTGATTACAGAATTAAATTTTCAAAGTTATCAGAAATTGTCAAAAAATAATTATAATAATGTACTTTCTACAGTCTTCTTCGATTAATTATTTGTTTGAAATATGCAAAAGGTTTTCATCACTATGGATGTGTGCGCCATATTCTATAAATAAAGGTTGTATTGTCAGTCTAACACAAATGCGGTAAACATCATTAATTACTTGATGTACGCTTTGATGCAAACTCTCAGCTGAGGACACATCAGTGCATAATTGTTTGACCTTAAATAATCTTGCTGCATTAGTGTTTATTTACTTCTGTTGGTATTTAAATCCCTGAAACCGCCTCAAACGATACATGTGATGAATATTTTATGCTGTTAAATTCTATAATAATTTTATTTAATTTTAAAACTTTTTAATACTATATATATGCCATAGAGATATTTTTGTGGATAACATATCCTCTCAATGTCTGAATTTGTTTTTAAACTCTCATCACGGTCTTTGTTCATTACCCTGTAAATGAGCCCAGCTTTCAGTACTTCTGAGTACTTTGATTATTCACTGCATCAAACCTAAGACAAAAACATGATGCAGTAATGTTACTTAACCATGCACCCAGCATTTGAAGTGAATGAGACCTTAAAAACCTCATAGTGCATGTTAGGACAATGTCACTGAGTTCCAAATAAAGGTCTAAATAAAAACTATACTCACCGTCAATGGAAACGCAACACCCTAATTTTAGGATGAAAATTATATACAGGTTATAACCATGTACCAAAAAAATTAGGACATCTTTTACTTTGCCAAATCAGTTATTTAACGGTTGAATGAATTTCTTTCCATCACCGGAAGTTGCTTTTAAGCCCTCTTCACAAAATTCAAAATTTTCCATTTTAATAAAATTTTTAACAATATTTTGGGTTTTCAAGGTTTTGAAACTGTTAATCATAAGTATTGTTCTAAAAGGCCGGGAAAAAATCCTTCTTTCTTTACCAGATGTGATGCCTCTATTTCCTCAAAATGACTGATTTTCATTGCTAATGCTAGAAATCCTCAAAATAAAGAAGAAAAGAGCTGCAGATACAAATATACACTATATAACGATCCATCAGGTTCATGTGTTTCAATAGCATAAATGGCAGTTTCTTGACCGGAAGTCAAAAAGTTGCTACACTACGCCTGGTTAGAGAAAATTCGACCGCAATATCTGAAAAACCTGTTTTTAAAAATGCCCAAGAATATTATTTTAGCTTAGATTAAGACATTAATAAACTTAATGCATTGTAGAAATAGGGCTGCATTTACTGTATATGGCGGACTAGTACGTTTTCATTAAATGGTCGGAAGGGGGGATGTTGTAAGATCTAACGGGTATTTGTTTCTTTCTAAGGTCTAAAAATAACATTTTTTTGTTTAAATGGAGTATTATTTTTTTGTAAATTTACTTTTTACCAAAAAATATTCATTTTTGATGTTATCATTTAACTTTTGAAGGTAACACATTACTCATAAAACATCCCCCCTTCTTGCTATCAGTCATTTTGAGGAAATATAGGCAGCACATCCGGTGAAGAAAGAAGGATTTTTTCCCGGCCTTTTAGTACAATACTTATGATTAACAGTTTCAAAACTTTGGAAACCGAAAATATTGTTAAAATTTTATTAAAAATGGAAAATTTAGAATTTTGTTAAGAGGGCTAAAAAGCAACTTCCGGTAATGGAAAGAAATTCATTCAACCATTAAATAACTGATTTGGCAAAGTAAAAGATGTAACTTTTTTGATACATAGTTATAACCTGTATATAATTTTCATCCTAAAATTAGGATGTTGCGTTTCCATTGACCGTGAGTATATTTACCGGTATATATTAACACCTCTAAATGAATGAAGGAGTGAAAATTCTCAAATAACATTACCAATCAAAGTACCAATAAGAAGCTGATTCATACATCACAGGTTCCAATCCCATTGCTAAATGCTTCAGACGGGTTACTCCAATGAGACCGCATACACCGAGATTCAGTGTCAAAAGGATCCCTTACTTCTCAAAGGCAATAATTAAGTGCTGAGTACAAGTCTATATTTGCAGCTTACTATCCCAAGTGGTGGCATCATCAAATGACTGGAAAATGTTTGATAGGCCAATAATCAAACAAACCATTCCTGCAGTCATCTAAAAATAAGCAAACTTTCTATTATTACAATTGTTTTTACAAATTTCTTTTGAGATTTAACTAAGCAACAATTGTGCAATCTTTTGTCAATAAATTTTGATACTAAAGACTTTGTTTGAGCAGCTATTTATAGCAATTACAGACAGCAACACGAAGCGCTGCTCATAATGCAAGCTCTCATGACAACGCCTTGGTGAAGAGAAAATTATCACTTGCTTATTGATCCACACAATTTCTTTTCCGCAGTAAATTTGGACCCACAGTGCTTTGATTCTTTAAGCTACATTCTTGCAAGAATTGATCAAATGTATCCAAAAAATAAAATCACCTTGATTTAATGGATAAATTGCAGATAAATAGTGGGAGAAAAAATTCTTCATTAAAGTCAGCACTATTCAAGATTTAGACTGGTAATGTCAGGCCTAACTTACACCACGAAATCGTGTGACTTCAAAGTCTAGTGCCCTGTTCACATGGAGAGTTTAATTCGCAGTAAATGATTGCAAAGTAAACTAATGCGAATCAAACTAATGGGAATCAAACTGTGTTAACATGAACACCTAATGCGAATTAAACAAATGCGAATAAAAATTTTACTTCTACAGTCAAGTGTCAGTAAGGCTATCCACTCAAAAATAGCACAATTAAGTACTTAAAGCTGACCACCAACATCTAGCATTTGAATTAATTTTGCCATTACAAATGCCTCAAAATTTAATTCGAATAAGCTTCCCTTTGTGTTCACATGGAGCTAATGCAAAGTAATTTAATTCGCAGTAAATTAATTCGAATTAATAAAACTAATTTGAATTAAACTCCCCCTGTGTACAGAGCATCGATGCACCAAATATCAAGTGCGGTTTGACAAGCCCGATCTAAATTAAAACTGAATAAGTATCTGCCCTCACCCTAACAGTCACACCGTCATCATATTGTTACGGTGTATATTCAACAAATAATAGAGAGGTTGAGATTTCAAACGTGTACGTGTACGTGTATGGGTACGTCTAGTAGGGTAATAACCTAAATTCTGTGTGCATTACGTCATCAATTTTAGTGACGTCAAGATTGCAATAAGTTCTTAAAACTTGTAGAATGGAATCTACACGTAAGTGAAAACATGTAGTTTTAATGATAAAAATTAGCCAATTTAAGTGTGAAAATGTGATTGATACACATTAAATAGAATGTTTACTTTCGCGAGCACTTATTTTCATCAAGTTTTGTTTACTAACTGACGACAAAAAACCTTCTAAATAGTTGAAACAGAGACACCGATCGCGGTGTACACGTACATGTTACACGTCATAAAAATCTCAACAGACAAATTAAAAAAAAACGCATACGTGTACTTCAAAATATATACAAGTACACGTATGCGTACAAGTTTAAGATCTCAACCTCTCTATTAAGTGTAGTGTAAATTACCCCTCCATGGTTACTGCGGTATTGCTCTTTTGCAGGGCAAAATAATAGCGTTTGGCAAAGTTTTTGTTGAGAGATAATTAAATGACATATATTTAACAATTACTTATATGTCATATTTCACCAAACTATATTATTTTGCCCTGCAAAAGAGCAGTACCGCAGTTACCGTGAAACGGTCTATAAGAGTATCACTATGATGGATAGTGGAGTGTTGAATTTTTTGTTTTGAAAGTGAGTCTTGTTGAAATTAAATGCTCACATATATTTAAATAAAAAATAAAAAGCTGTTGGGATTTTAAAAGGCTAACAGAAAGCGTCTGAGCCTTTAAACAGATAATGTATCGGTGTGTCTGTGTATTTTTAAAAATATCAATGCTCTAACAGCTGTCTAAGCTGCCAAAGTAATTTAAATTTTAGGTAAAATAAATTTCTAACCTTCATTCCGATAGTCCATGCCAATCAAACTTTAAAATGTCACCGTCGACTCTTTCATCACTCGATACATTTATCACTGGGAACCACGAACCAGAGTCAAGAGTGCTCAGCTTGTTAATTTAACAGTCGGAATTTCCTCGTAAAAATTCACACAAAAATTTATTAAATCGGATAATTCTGTTGAAAATAATGCTCCAGAGGATTGATAAAGTACTTCGTAGCTGCAGAATAAATGTGCGTGCATGTCTACATACGGCCTGTGGCTTGTGTGGTAAGAAATGCTCAACTTCACATGATTTCCAACTTTCAGTTTGTAAACATGTGTCCGACTTTTGGGACACACTAATAACCGGATATACGAGAGACCTGATATTTACCTGATGTTTTTATTTTAGATTAAATGACAATATTGAGTACTTCAAATGACTTATTTAAATACTTTATGACTATGATGCAAAATGATATACAAAAATTCGTTTGTTTGGAATATTTACTGACGATTTTGAATCAGGTCAAATAAGGTTTTTAGTAAATCAGGTCTTTAGTACCTTCCCATTTCCCACAATGCCGCGCGTTATTTACAAACAAGAGGCCCCGAAAAGACTTCCTCTTAACTAATGCAGAAATATTTTGATTATTTTACCTATTGTTGTATACAACATCACATTATATTTATTATTTAAATAAAAAGAAAACAGAGAAACACCGAATCAAAATAATATCGTTCAGATGCATCGATCAACTGAAACTATGCAAGAGGCCCAGTAAAGGCTTGGCTATAAAAGACAACTTGTTCCTGTAAGGTTTCTCACATATTTGTTTTATAAAAAAGTATTAAATATAGCTTGAAGTTTATTTCTCTTTATATCAAACGACAAGATTTAATCACTTCGAAATTATTTCAGTCAAACTTTTTCATAATAAACCAATATTTTTAGCTAACAGAAAAAAAACGTGTATGAGTTATTAACCCCTAATTATAGGGGCCAGCCCCTTTTCCTTGATCTTATATGAAAGCTCTTGTAATTATGCACAACTTTTGTAATATATTTCTTACCAAATTATTCTCGGTTCAAAAGGTATTATACAAAAAGAAGCAAAATTTCATGGAAAAAAATACTTAAATTTGCCGTCACATAGCTTCCGATCTTTAGGAAATCAGCTTATAATTTTATCGTTATGCACATCTACAATGTATTGGCTATAAGTTCTCCAACTTTCATGTAATTATCATAAGTGGTTCTTGAGTTTATTAGTGGACACGAGACATCAAAATTATCAATTAAAGGGCAATAACTCACAAAGTAAGGCATGTATCAAAAAATTGAAAGCAGATGTAAATAGGTGTAAATACAAGGTATCTAACCTGAAAGTTTCATAAAAATCAGTCCAAAGGTGTTTGAGAAATCGCCTGTCAAAAATCCGGCGGGAAAAAAAAGCAAATAATAATAAGAAACAGTAGAATAACAGTAGGGTCTTCCGAAGGAAGCCCGGAAGACCCTAATTATCCGATATAAATAATGTACTAAAAATAATCGCTATCCCGATTACGAATACATTTTTAAATACAAAATTTAGTCGATATTTCCATTGCGCACCTTACCTGTACTGCGCCCGTAAAATCCTGCTATCATCAAGATTTTTCTTAAGTTTTGAATTACTGTATATGAACTGTATCAAATAAATGTCATTTTTGAGAGGCAATTTATTCTCGGCTCTAGGTTTTAATGATGTTGCAAATTATAAGTATTGTTTAAAAAAAATTTGGGTGGGAAAATTTACCTCGTAAAATCCCACTATCACCAATGTTGTTCCTTCAGCTTTAATTTACTGTGTATAAACATTATCAATGACTCTTTTGAAAGGAAATTTACCCTGTAGATTTTTTGCTACATGTGTCTTTAAGGTGATCCAAGTCATAAATGCTGCATCAGTTATTGTTTTTGAGGAAATATTTTCCCCGTTACATTAATGTCTTGCTATCGGTTTATGTATATGTATGTATTGTCCAGCTCCCCTCTAAAAGTTTTCAAATCAGTTTGGTTTTGAAGCTAGATCGTCTTTATACTAGACACATACTTATTTTCACCATCTCTCTAATAGATATAATATAAAGTTCTGTTTTTGTTTGATTTTGTCAGTACCTGAAGGCAAAATGCTTAAAACGGAAAAAAGATTTTTTTGTTTTGATTTTGGAATGCGTTCAATATTGTTGAAATATACCGGTATTTTAATTTAGAATTTTCATACATATAAATATCATTAAGGTGTTCATGCAATTTTAAATATTGCACCGAATGCACGTCTGGCATTCTCCTTTGACACGTTATTTACACAGCGACGGACACAGTTTTTCCATAATTAACCGTCTATGGTTTTTGCCTGGGCAGTTTTTAACGTATGTGATAGGGGAATAATAATTTACAAATACATGTACATTGCAGTGATTTATTTTTCACATACAATGTAATTTATGTTCAATTATTATGTATTGTTATCAAAATAAACACCACCTGCCCCCACTAAGTTAGCCTGGAAGACATAGGTGTTGTATTATTTGAGATGTATACTGTCAAAAAAAGATTTAAGATTATAAATAATTTTGTAATATATTTTAAAGTGAATTGGGACCTCCCTGTTTACACAGTGGTTTCATGTAAAATAAAAAAGTGATCTTTTATACACCACATCTGTAATTTTTTCTATTTTGTAGTACATTTGTCTGAATGTATACACAGAAACAAATGTAAAAGATTAGCTCAACGTTTATACTCAAGGTTATTGATTGTGCGGTATAATTTCTGATTCATATAATGAGAACCCAAAATAGAAAAAAAAGTTAAAATCATTTTGTTTGGAAAATGAAAACTATCAATATGCTTTTTTTAATTGCTTTATTATAAATAAATATTTCAATGTACATTTAAAAGAGAGAGAGTTGTAGGGAATCCAGAGAGTTGTAGGCAATCCTTGAGCGGATTATAAGGGAGTCTCTGGGGATCTAAATCAAAAGAAAATATGTTTACTATGTAAATTTATTGCATGTTTTAGTAAATAATGTAATTTTGTATTGTTTGTAACAGATTATGGTTGTTATTTATAAAGAAAGAAGTTAAGACAGGGAAGCTTTTAATATTTCTTTATCTTAAGCAATTCAAAATAATTTCTCCCTCTATTAGTTATTAGGAAATCAGATAAGAAAAGTTTTGATTAATTGGGAATTTAAGATTTATTGTATGTTTATTCTGATTTAAATTTTTGATTGTCCCCCTGCAGTATATAAAAATATATATATATTTGTTGTTTTCTGATCATGGAAATTTCTTATATTGTAATAATCACAACAGGAAATGAATATAAGATTTTTTTGTTTCGAAAATATTTTTTTGTTATAAATCAAATGGATCGGAGACAAGTAGTAGAAAACTCGCAGGGGGAATAAGGAAGCAAACAAAATATTCTACCTTGGCAATATCATTGCTGCACTTTGACGTCATAGTAGGCAAGATGACGTCAATTTTAGAAATCAAGTTTTCGTAATATTAGTATTTAGCTATGTAATTCAATTCTAGATAATGCTTAGAAACATGTAAACATTTACAAAAAATAAAATGTTCTAATTTTGTTATGCTGTAACAGTCATAATGATTGAAATCTAACACCGATGACGTCATACGTGTACATCAAGTAGCTTGGGAATTGATCATGTCGTGTAAAGAGAATTTGGCTAAGACGGTATGATAGAAGATACGAAAAAAAGGAGTTTAAAAGGAAATATCGGAAATATTGTGTTAAATTCATATGAAGTTCAATTAATCAAACAGGTATGCAAATTTATTTTCATCGATTATATTCTCTTTCGAAGACAGTCAGCTATTACGTATCCCGGTCGGCCTATCGTCCGTCATTCTTGACCAAAAATGCAACAGAACAACAATAAGCTGGATATTTCAAAACATGCAATTTGTACAGATTGAAAGTTTACGTTCTGAGAAACTTGGAAAGTGCTGCTAGAATCCCGAGTTAAGCATGGTTGTACGAAAAATCTCGATTCGTTTGTATAAAACTCAAAACAAATGGTAAGGTTTCGTGCGAATTTGTAGAATTAATATTTTACGGACAAGATAGTGGGATTCTAGCAGCACTCTTTAGACAAAATAAATGTTTTTCAGCTATATCACATACTCAAAGAAATTATCAAACTCCGTGGTATTGTTGTTCTGTAAGCCTTTTTATTAAGGAAAATTTTGCCTTAATAGAAGTCACGTGATGCCGTGGAGGTGATACAGGTCTTTGATTTAGACACACTTTTATCAGTATGTAATAGTAAAAAATAGTTTATGTTTATCAGTGGTTTTGGTACATGTAATTTATTAAACTATATCTTCTTCAAAAAGTCTAAATTTCCCGAGAAATTACCTATATGCTTCCTTAACATACCCGCGCTGCTTTCAAATATCTACGATCAAATAATTTAAATCCTTACAATTAGCACATAATTACATTTTTTCAGAGTTTATCACATGTTTTTTGCCAGTGCCTTTCATATCTCCCGGTCCTGGCAGTTTACTGTCAGTGTTCCTTTGTTATCTTCCCTATGCTCCATAAATGTCTGAATGATGATAGGAATAGTGCTGACAACCATTTGTCAAAAATTCAAAAATTAAATAAATCATAATCTATACTTAAAAATTATTGCTGGCACTTTGCAGTTTGTCATAATAAAGAAAATGTAGTGTGTGTCCATGAACATGTATTAAAAATCCAAAATCTAAATGTTTGATTTTAAAATGAAATAAGCTGAACGTCAGACTGGTCCGTAAGCAGTATAAGCTTCCTTTAAAGATCCCATTTCTTATTTTAAAAAATAAAATTTATGTATATTTCTGCTTTGTTTTATGATGAGAAATATTTTAGATGTATATTAGCTCTATATAGAACTATTTATTTTAAGAAAAACGGAATTGACAATAAAAAAAAAGATACCCGTAGTACATTGATTTTCACTAGTTTTTCATATTCAATTCCCTGAGTTTTGAAGTGTGATTTGAAGTTCAAGGCTAGCAGGTGGTGTATCTTTTAAAAATATTAAACCAAATGGAGTATAAATGCATTTAAACTACGGAAAAAGGAGGGAG